TATTGCATTATTAATTTATTTACGTTTTTGAAATTTAGGAAAGTGTAGATTGTTCATTTGAATTGAAATCTTATGTTCTTTAGCACATAATAGGTATTGTTTTCCATATCTTCATTGAACTCTTATTCCTTGCACCATACAATTTGTGTAGTTTATTTTAACAAGTCGCCATAGTAAGAGGCAATTTATACAAAAAAGCTCCAATGCGCTGCGTCTGCGTCGTCGTTGCCGGCTTTATACGGCGTAATTGCGATCCTCCAGGATATTGCTATTATTTTTAGATCTGCCTCCGTTGGGCTCTGAGTAATGAGTCATGGGTCCTGCGGCTCAAATATAGGGATTTTTTCAATTAAATTTGCTAAATGTTTACTTAGTTTTATTTATTGAATGTCAAGATATTTCACCACCATGATATTAAATTATTTTTTGTGAAATTACCTCACTAGTTTGTTATAATTATTAAACAAAGATCGACCACTTGGAAAAAATCACTTTGATCCGGTTGGATTCGAACCAACGTCTCCCAGGAAACCGTGCCAGATGCTATGCCAGCCACCACGGACCGAACTAACAGACGTCACGAATTTTTTCATGTGTTTGTTGCAGATCTTTGTTTTTAGTTTTTAACGACTTTTTTGCCGTAGCGCCATCTATGAGAAATCTATGATTAAGAAATATATGTATAAGTACGTTAAATAAAATATTATTTGGTAGTAACCAAAATCTCAGATTTTGTTTTCCCTTGTACCTGCTCACTCATGGCGATTTTTTCTGCCCGGGAATGGATTACCTGAGATTTTGGGACTAACCTCCACAACCATATTATACACTCTCAGACACATAATTCGACCCACTTTGAAATTTTATTCTTATATGTAGATTTAGAATTCATAAACATTGTTATGATCGAAGGAAATGTTTTCTCCGGTTGTACAAATACAAATTTTCAACGACGTCTTATTGAAATGATTCGCCAGTTTGAAAACTGCGTTATAGTTGTTGATCAATCAAACATTAAGGTCAAGACATTTAACAACAAAAATGCAAGGTGGCTCGAATTATGTGTCCGGAAGTGTATTTCAATACTGATTGATTTGTTTTACGGATTTTCTTTATCACAGAAAGAATGTATTTGATCAATATGACCTACCAATTTTGGACTCCAGATAAATGACTGCGATCTTTTTTAAATTGGACTGCGAACCGTGACACAAGACAGCGTAGTCGGGTATTTAGTATCTATTGGTACACCAGATGTCGCGCCGAGTACCAAATAGCTATTTTTTGTTACTAATTAGTTTACGTTGACAAGCTGCAATGTATCAAAGCTACTCTAATTTCTAGTAAAACCAAACAAACCAACTAGATGGCGCTTATTGCAACGATTTTATGGATAACGCCGGCTGTTCTTTCATTTTGATTAGGATTAGCGTCATCTACTCATATTAGGAAGCAGTAATTTGTAAATTAGTTTGTAACACACAATGCCATCTATTGAGACGTATATTTGTCAAAGTTCAGAAAATAATTTTAGCTCATGATCAATATTTGAATAATACTTATTACAAAAAAAAACTGACTTCTCATATTTCATTTTAAAGAGAAATTAATTGATATCCACGGCCATTTACGTAATATAAACTACTTCCAGCGCCATCTTAGATCGTCATCATCATATAAGCCGGAAAACGTCCACTGCTGAACATAGGCCTCTCCCAAAGTTTTCCAGACCAGCTGATCGGGCGCGATGTGCGTCCATCGGTTACCCGCCGCCCTTACCAGGTCATATGTCCATCTAGTAGGGGGCCGTCCCACCAAACGCCTTCCGGTTCGTGGTTTCCATTCGAGAACCTTTCTGCTCCAAAGGCCGTCAGTTCTACGAGTCATGTGCCCACTGCCACTTCAACTTTCTAATCCTTCGAGCTATGTCGGTGACTTTCGTTCTTCTACGGATCTCCTCATTTCTGATTCGATCACGTAGAGAAATGCCGAGCATTGCTCGCTCCGTAGCTCGTTGAGTAACTTTGAGCTTTTTTATGAAGGCCATTGTAAATGACCACGTCTCAGAGCCGTAGGTCATCGCTGGCAACACGCACTGTCTGAAGACTTTTGTCTTCATGGACTGCGGTATTGCGGACGAGAGGACCTGGAGCTTCCCGAAAGTTGTCCAACCGGGTCGGATTCGACGATTGACCTCTTTCTAGAAGTTGGCTCTGCCTAATTGGACGGTTTGTCCTAGGTATACATACTCGTCAACAACTTAGATATAAGACGGAATTTTGACCTGTTTCAGAGTTACGATCTGTAGTATCGAGCAGCCTTTAGCAGTCCTCTCGGGTTATTTGGTCCATATCATAACTAACGTAATCGACATTTTAATTAAAATGACTCATTAACGTATCTGGAATCAGCAAAACGAGATCTATAACTCCTATAAACGGATTTTTTAGATCGGAAACGCATTTATGACAAGAAGGGCAGAAATACAATAAAACAGATTTCTCACAAACAATACAATTCTATAAACAACTCAATATCAAAATTGATGAATGTATCTTCACTCACACTTCTGGAGTGTGGTGCTAATCAATTGCGTCTGCGCAAGTGAGTCATGACCTTAATTTCCTGTCTTGATTTCGTTATAGTAGGTCATTGGCTCTCTTACAATTCTCCTTAATTGTTGGGATGTTCATTCAGTTGCTGACATAATTTCTTTCAAATTGTTTTCAATTTTGTTAATGGTGTGTTTTTGCGGAAGTCCATGTTAATTAAAATGAAAGTAAATTAATTTTCCCCGCGAATCCAGTGGTGATTCCTCATCATCAACCCATTTTAAACTTCCCACTGCTGGGCACGGGTATCCTCTCAAGCTAGGTTTTAGGCCGTAGTCTGCTACGCTGGTCCAATGCGGGTTGGGGATTTCGCACTTTTCCGAGTGTTGTGAACCTTCTTCGACGTGCAGGTTCATCACTATGTTTTCTTTCACCGAAAAGCTCATGGTTTTCATATTAAATTTCGCACGTAAATTCCGAGAAAGTCAGAGGTGCGAACTCGGATTCGAACTCACGGCTTCTGTTTGAGAGGCGGGTAGGTCAAACCATAAGGCTACCGCGGCTTCAGTAACAGTGAATGTTAAATGGTGTAACATAGCTGTGCTTGTGTTGAATATCTTTTTCATGCAGTTAATTTTCCCACCCTCCCTTGGAATAAAATTAATAAAATAAATAACAGTAAAGTACAGTCACAAACACCTACCAGAAATATATTCGCCACTTGTTTCGCCTGACAACGAGGCATCTTGAGTTGTTATATCTTCGAACAATCATTTGCGTTTGTGTTATAATTGGAACCAACAAAAACCACTTTTTCCGATCTAAATTGCATAATTTTTTTTAAAGAGTTTATCAATTAGATAATACACTTTTATTGCCTTGCTAATGTCATATATCCATCCGATGAGGGAAATAAACGATGTTAGCATTATCTAAAGATAGAACTAAATATTATTTTCCACATTTAAATTTCCAGTCCAAGATAGTACCACAAAATCATAATATAAAAATTTTGAATATTGATTACTTTCCGTGTATGTTTTTATTTTATTTTACATAATTTACACATATCAATAAATACTACTGCCACATCTAGTTTCCATATTAATAAATTTTCGCTTAAGCACGGCAATAAGGGCGAATTTCACACTAAGATTCGCCAGCTAATATAATATTATAGGCCTTGTCATAAATTGGCAAAAATAAATGTTATAAGCAGAAGTCGGCAGGTAGAGTATATTAACCTTAAAGTTCCAGTAATAAACATACAAATGGTATTCTTGAAATCTGAAATCCCAGAATGATTAAAAATAAAAGGCAAAAAAAATTTGGTGTATTTTTAATGGGTTTGGCTGAAAAGTTCGTGCGGTTTTTGCTTTACTTTTTGCTTAACTTTTAGACATTAAAAGGAACTTTTTTTTATTTTACAGCGTTGTTGTCTTTGGTTATTTTGAAACAGGCGGGAAAGTTTTTTGAGAATTATTCGACAGCTTTGTCGATTTCAATGTGTACGTACAATACTGTGGAACAAGTTTTACCAATTTTTGAACCAATTTTATTTTAAATGAAACTATTTTTTAACAGATATTTGTTTCGCAAATTAATCAACTTTTCAATTGTCAAGAGTCAATTGTAAAGACCTTTACAATTGTCACGGCTGATTTGAAATGTTGATTTGTTTGAAAAAAAAAACAAAAAGCAAATTTACGCTACATAGATTCGAAAAAGTAGTTTCAATATGTAATAATTGCAAAAACGTAAGAATTAATATTTAAAATTAACGAACACTTTTGCTTTTTACATTAATTGGGGCGCAGTTTCAGATCATTTCAAGTAGTTCATATAATTTTCTGAAGGGTGGTGTGGATGGTTGATATACGGCTTTGTATTTTGCACCGTATAGAGATCATTATGGGTGTTTGCTTCTGGTGTTTTTGTTACAAATACTCTTATAAAGTTGCTAGCTATTATTCCTGTACAGTAATAGGTAGTACGTCGATTCACCAAATGAAGTTTCACTTCACACTCAGGTGCGCACTCGACTGGTCTCACATAAATCTTTCAAAACCTCCGGATCTGAATCAATGCGCAGGCGCAGAATTCGTCATCGGCTGACTAATCTACAAGTGGCTAGTGAACAGACATAACATTCCTTGTAATTGTGAGAATTAGTACAATTGGTATTATGGGATTCTTCTATATTTCATGCACTTAAAAAAACTAAAAATATCCCAGTGTTGTTCCACTATGGCGTACACATGGGGAGGCTTATGTCCAGCAGTGGACTGCAATAGGCTGATTGATTGATTGATCCCAGTATTATTATTTGCTGGAAATTTTGATTCGATTATTTTTTTTAATTTTTGACACAAGTTCGCTCACTGTGCCTCTTATTGTCTTGCCCAAAAATTGATGTTAACACATACCGAACGTCATTGTTGTCCACAGGTGATGAATGCTCCCACGAAGATCACTGTGCATCACAACCATGCCGCAATGGAGGACGATGCGTCGCAGACAACACCACAGCAGCCGGCTACTCCTGCGCCTGCCCAGCAGGTTTTACCGGCTCTCGATGTACCGAGGACGTCATTGAGTGTTCCAGCGGATCAGGCCCTTGCCACCATGGCAGGTGTTTCAACACTCACGGCTCGTACACCTGTGTCTGTGAACCTGGGTATACGGGAAGGGACTGTGATGCAGAATACGTCCCTTGTGAGCCCTCGCCGTGTCTGCATGGGGGAAGATGCACGCCGTTAGACCAGCTGAGATATGAATGCGATTGTCCTACTGGTAAGTCTTTATTTTCTTGATTCCTGGCCGGGAGAAATATTTGTATGGCCTGGATCTATTTCTTTCGTGACTTTGGGTGTAAAAAAAAAAACTTTTGGGTGTAATTTGGGTGGATTTGTGATTGTCTATATGTGTGTCCATGGTACCCGTGTTGCAGTGTTTCCCTTGTGTGTGGCTATGAATGTGTTCGTTATTATATATTATTATAATGATGTCATGTAATGGGACGCCTATCCATTACAGTTGCTGAAATATAAATCGCAAAGACATGAGGGGCATTGTCACGGTGTCCGTCACCCTGTGATATAAAGTTGACAAGTTCCATGAGCCTATAATTTCACCAGTACCCTTAGCCTTGAAAACGCTTGCCAGCAGTAATAGGTATGGTGGCAGCACTTCCCTGGACAAAGTCGTCTACAAGGAGTTCTACTGCTACTAAGTTTTGTTCACTGTTTCGAGAAATCACAGAGCCTTTTCACCTATTGCAGTTATAGTTGTTTATGCTTTGATCACATTAACGAATGATGTCTTGCTAAAACTACTACAATTATAAATACGATAACTAGTCTACGAGAGTTTTTGTATGTTGCTAATCAAATCATTTTATGGTTGCTATTAGTTTGCTGAGTACATAATTATCGCATTTGAAAGTGAAAATGGAGTCAATGTGAGCTCAGAATCCCTAACCATTCCTTACTTGGCCAGATGTTTCATATACAACAGTTTATTTCCTAAGCAGGAGTGCGCAATACTGACGGTAGACCTAGTCGTTAACTTGCTTTATTAGGCTTAATATATTCATTACTATTCGACTCCTTTACGAGCGTTTATATTTACGATACTAACGAATTCTGCTATTACTGAAGCTTCTGTCACTGTGCGAAATCTAATTGTAAATTTAAGCGGTTTTAGATTACATGAGGTATTTTAATTATTAAACAAAAGTGCTTATATTAACATCTATTTTTGTATAATTTTTGAATGAATGTCAAGATAACGACTCTATCTTTATCTTTTAATTTGGGGGTCCACTAGGTAAACATCTTAGTCCGTTACTATATAAGTTTCATAAACACTAAACAATTGCCATAAAATTTTATGAGCGCAATGATAGTTTATCTACACAGCTGGATATCCAATTATTTCTATATCTGTCATCGATTTGCTGGTAGTGCTTGACCTGTGACTTTAGTGTCGTATTTAACGGTGCCCTTTTCGGTTGGCGATGATATCTTTTAAAAGATCGTTTGTATTTAAAAGTCGTTTGGAATCTTGTCGTTTGTTTCGCTCGAATATACTATGAGCTTTTTGAAGTTTAACATAGAATGACTCATGAATTTATCCAGTCGTACTATATATAAACCTCTCATAGAAAATTACAAATAAGGCTATTCAAATCCTGCTCTTATGTATTTGCCTACTTGAGTAGCCCAGCATTTGCACTTGTTTCTAGGTTCAGCAGATTTACTGCCCGGAGCGATAGCAGAAGTAAAATTACTATTTGCGCAACGACAACCGTACAAAAAACCGAAGTAAAGGACAAACGTTGCTTCGTACTATATTATTTGTTAGCAATAGTTAAGTATAGTTTAATAGTACAAGTTGTATACGTGTACAATGTTTATAAAATATATATTCTTTAGGTATTACATTTAAGTTAATTTTCTTTTGGCAGTTCCTTTGATTCTAAATTTACTCTTTTTTTGTCGCTTTGACGTCAAAAGGGTCGCGATATTGGACCCAAATGGAAAAGTTATCATTCGAAGCAGAATTCAAAACGAGATCATTATTTTTTAGCATATCTTTACATGGTTAAGCATACGGGTTATATTAATCGGTTATTCCCATCTTTCAATATAGCTGTATTTTCGCCTACACTACAAGCCCACGCACCAGGACTATTTGCGGCTAGGCCTGAAATATATGCTCATAATTATTCAAAGCCCTAGGTGTAAAGTGTATGTCGTTAACATGGTGTCGGGACTGTGACGAATCAATTACTAGACTTACATGTTTGGCAGGTTTATTTCAACACAGGAAGGGATACCTGCTTCAATATGGTTCGGTCGTTTGTCGTGTATTTATCGGTGACTTACTAATTTTTATTATCATGACACACGGGCTTTTTGAGTTCCTGTTTGCATTTCCTTATAATGTTTTGGGTAGCCTGTCTCAAGTATGTCAATTTTGACTGCTAAATGTTCCATTTCTTCATGTATTATATTTATATTATCTTGTTCTTCGTACTATACGTTGTTATTGAAACGTTTAACTGTTCATTTGTTATGATCAGGCTTATCATTTAACGCAACATTACAAAATAATCTTTCGAAACTTCCAAAAGCACACCAATTCACATCTTACTCGTTTCTCTTACAACCGTCGTATCTGTTTTAAATTATACCATGGTCTATGGCCGTCGCCCCAGGCGGACACGACTCGGCCAGTTTGAAAGCTGCACTTACCTTAACTATAGTCGGTTATAAATGTGCCTATTTATATTTATGTGCTTAAGTATTAGTCGATAATGTTCTTATTGTATTTACTTTAAATTGTGGAAGAAATGTTAAGTTGATATTAAATATATAGATTTTGCCATCAGATTAAAGTTATGAAACGAATGGTGAGAAAATGTATCTAGAATCACAGTAACTACAATAGCATCCTTGCTTTCAAGCAGTCATAATATATGTAACAATAAAAAAAAAATTTTTCAAAATCTTTATCGCCACTGTTACCACACAAATCTCACACAGTTCATTAACTTCATTAGGCCTCTAATTCGCAAAAACGTAACATCACGACGCGAATGACGTCTGATGAAACCGATTACGTCACAATTTTATATAGTTCGGTGTGCCTGTGCATCTCGCTTCATTACACGCTTGCAAAACTACTTGCAACATTTAAAATTGTTACGAATTAATTTTTGAGAACTTCCTGCTAATTTTGCACCAAGGACCTGTGAAACTTTGTTATTTTGCTTTGTTTCTTTTTAATTATTACATTCGCGTTATGTTCGCACCGTTACGAGAATAGACAAAGTTGTTAAACGCCTTATTATTTGTGTAAGAACATATCATTATCAAATGTTTCTAGAACGCCTTAGAGTACAGAAGTTCGAATAAATCACTGATCTGATGGACACATAATCCTGAACACTATATTTTTATTCCACACTTGCAAATAAAACACTATTCAGTGTTAATCTAGTACATTTTATAAGGATGTTTTTTTGCTGTTTTAAAGGCGTGATGTGTGGTATTTCATCTTTGCGTTCCGTCTTCTATTCACATGTTATGAATTATGAATCTAAAGGGACTGTATCATCTTTTTTGTTTATATGTTCATTACTTTCTGTCATTTAGTATATCTAGATATGTTGTACCAATATGTGTTTCTATTTACATTGTCAATAACATTGTTTAGATTAATTTGTACTTTATACCTGTGTCATCCATAGACACTACTATGCTGGTCTCCCGTTAGTATACTGTTACGTATAGTATATAGTTATTCAAGGCATTTTCGACGTCTCCTTGTTGAAGGACAGCTTTCTTCTGGTTGAGATCTATACGCCGAGGGTAACTTATGGTTTCCACCACGTTCGTTCTACTTTTTATCTAATTATATTGCACTATTATTCATCCTTTTCTCCATACGACCAAACTATAAAAGCATTTATTTTTCTGTCCTAGTCACTCATTTTATCACATCTTATCTTTAACATATCTTGTTCTATTTTATTAACAATGTTTATCGTCGAACCATAATCAAATACACATATTATTGCTTTTATTTATTATACATATTGGCGACAGTTTATGCAAATTAGTCAATAATCAAACATTAGTAGTCAATATTGCATGCCTCTCTATTTATTTCATCTTAGCGGGTGTCTGAATTCCAAGCGCCGGCACAGTCGTTAAGCCATCATTACAGACATTCTTCTAATGTGTGGCTTCCTGTATGTCATACTTACTTAAAAGTCTATTGCCGTTTCGACATTTCATTTTGGGGTTGGTATCTGTTCCTGGAATGCGTGATCTTTTTTGGTAGGAAAATATTTTTGACCATAACTACCTTTTTGTAGAATAATCGCTTAGTTTCTGTGTATAGGATGTTGTCAGCTTAATTTCTTTTTATAATGATAATAAATTTCAAATTTTTATTTTTCGGTTCATTACTTTATGACAAAACAACACTTGTAAATATCGATCTGTTTATGTATTGTCTTAACAATCCAAACATACTTTCCAAATTCATGAGCTCTACTCAATTCTACGCCTGAAGGAGTACCCCGGCCTCTCCACTTAACATACTCTTCCCATGATGACGTCACACTATGGGAACAGATGTACATTACACTAAAGTGTACTTAATTAACACTGCTGATGTACAAACGTACATATTAGTTGATTGGCTCTCCAAACTTAGTGGTACTATTGATATGAGAACTACTGTTAGATTCCGATTGCTTTAGACTGTTGATATTTGGCTACTTGTAAATGATGCGTAGTTTTTGTGTCTATTGGCCTAACTGGTGTCATGAGGAGTTACTAATTTGCATGATAGCAATGAGAGTGATGCTTGAGCTTGCATCAATGATGCTACATTTGCTTTAATAGTCGACTACTGAACTTAGATGAATATTCTTAGTAAAAAGAAGAAGTTGTCGTCACTATCATGCTTGGCATACCTACCACTCGTATTGGGACTCCATATTTCTTCAAGGAAATTTCTGTGTATCTTCTTATTATCCACAGCCCAAGTTAATGCTTTCCTTCGCCGTTAAAGCACTTTTTTGTTATTTGTTATAAGGCAAAACAAAACCTTATAACTATTTACAATCTAGCCGTTTTACAAGCAAAGCAATTTTAATTTAACGTGATTTCCTAATACTTCCAAATACATGATCCCACTAGTAACTTATATAAAGAATGGACACCCCATTGAAAAAATATATTTTAATATTATGTAAGGGGGAGACACTTCGTTCA